GGGGTGTTACACAATTGCTCATGCCATAATTAAAAAATGAGTCTCTAAAATGTAAAGATTATCGCAACACAATAAGTTCTCAAACGTATATGAAATTTACCACAAGTGACATAAAATCAGATAGGGCAAGCATACACATTGAACAAAAATGAGTTGAACATTTGACAATCTTAGGGAGATTAAACGTCAAAAGAAGTATAGATGTTGAAATATTATCAAATATTAATAATTTGTTTGCTTCAGGTAAACCAACATGATGTGACTCACTTTTGGCGGTTAAGCACATAGTATTTTTGCATAGTAGCATAGCATTAAAAACAGAAGTTGCAGTTCATTCACAAGTCATGAGTCGTTAATCACGCAACGATATATTCAGAATCTTTCCGACCTTATTAAAAAAAATAGTCCATTGACCAAAACACATTGTCAAGTGGGGAAGATTTAAAACTCAAAGTTTATATTCCCACAAAAATTAAGTTTTTGATGTCTTTTAAAAACAATGACATTCAAAATACTTGGTATAAGTTCGTCATGCATGTACTGCTACTAGAGTACAAGATGACTAGTTTAGAAAACAATGAGACTCGCACTATGTGCAAAGTGCTTATAAAGATTCACTTGCGTAACGATATTATATTGTACTAGTCACATTCAGAGACGAAATAAACATCCTAAATTTTTAAATTTGGTCAAAGGAAGATCATAACAATTTATTGACCAAAGCAATCCTTCAGGTATTAATATAATATGGAATATGTGACATAGTAAAATGGACATTCACTATTAAGGTTTGGTCTAAGGAGTGAAATAGTAAAATCAGAGCTCTTAATTTACTTTATGGGTAAATATATATTCAAAATTGAGAGCTTTAATTTTGAAATCATAGGCATTAACAAAGATCACCACATTTAGGACATAGCATTTAAATTGTTATATTATCACATGCAAGCTAAGGTTTAACAACGACAGGTGCACCTTAACAAAACTATTTCAATGTTTTATGGTACACAACCCTACTCTGATATGCTCTTAACAATATTCTCTAGAATGTAACTCTGGGTTGTAATGATCATATATAAGAGTAAGATAAGTCTCAACATATATGGCCTATAGCAGATAATTGTTACCATTGAGAGTAAACTCAACAAATTCTCTTTTATGGTGGTTACCATGGTCACAAATTTGAGCAAATAAATGCTCTCAAATTTAAGGCAATGGATGAGTATTATACTACATGCATGCTGATTATATTGTCTGTCATTAATAATAATCCATTGACATATATATAATTATTATAGGCAATAACGTGAAGCACATAGCTAATCAACTATGCATAGATATGGAACTCTAATATCACAGGTTAGATATAAATATAATCTAACGTAAAGTTAATGACGTTCAAAACATGTAAACATGTAAAATTGACATTTTCATAATTAAGTGTGCGGATTGGGAAAAAATAGATCATCTATTTAAGTACCTAGCCGTACGCCCCAACATTTCTGTCTATACAAGTGCCAATTTTTTTACTTGCAGACCTTTTACTCTTTTCACAAGCTTAAGGGGAGTTCTCACATTAATTCGGAAGCTTCTGGCCTCCAATTCTTATTCCATGTGCAAATTTCTTTCTTGCTCTCATTTTACCATTAACTTTGCACTCATGCGACATATTAACTTTGTACGTAGGTGTAATAGGCAAAAGGAATATGAAGTTATGCAATATTCAGAATCATGCCCCATAATTTATGCAAACAAATTTAGCCCACAGTAGCCATAAATTTAACTAGGCAATTCATAAGAAATACCGTTCACCAATTTGCTCATCTTTTCGCCGTGTATTCAATGATGTTATCGTCGCTAGCCGCCGGCGGTCGATGGGCTGTGAGATCGCTTTCTTCCAGCGCGGAGAGATCGATGGGGCAGACGTGGAGCAGGATTACGGCGTCGCCGGGTCGGAGGTAGTTCAAGACTGCGCACTTCACGGCATAGACTCTCTCGTCGCTGAGATCGACGGCGATGGCGATCTTCCGTTGCGCCCCGACCGGAAACTCGATCCACTTTCAGATTCAGCCGCTGAAGAGGAAATCTCCTCCGACGCCGGCTTCTTCGAAGAAGAAGATAGCGCTTCTAGACAACCAATCAAAGTGAAGGTGACACCACATCGATCGTCGCTGTCAATTGTTTTTGCCGAGGGATCTCAGAATCGATATCGCAAAATCCAGACCGCAGGGCTCTCAGTTGACAAAGATGGATGGAGAACCATCGTGCTGCTGATAACTGTTAAACAAAAATAAGGAAGAAGGAATAGATAGAGTGGAGAGGGAAGGTCAAGATATTCTCATTCATCAATCAGAATACTTAGACAAAGATACCACCAAATACATATAAAAGGTAGTAACATAATCTGTTATAACTGCTATCATATATATAATAATGTTCACAATAATAATATTTATAACAAATCTAAATCTTAATTATAATAATAAGATAATGTATTAATAGTAATTCTTAAACATATAGGACTACTATTATATTATTATCTCCCAATTTTAACTCAAATAGGGTTGAAGTATTATTATTACCCTACTCCTAATAGAAATATGATAATAAATACGTGAATAAATAAGTGAATTCCTACATGAGCTTTCTCATTACTAGCTATTTGCTAGAAACAACGGCTTAACCCAACCCAACAAATATAATTGGAGATAGAATGACGACAACAATATCATATTTGACCAGCATCCGCTCACAACATCCAACTGTGGGAATACTGTACATTCAGAACAGTACTAGAGTTGTGGTGCCAGGTTCTGTGCCTTATACTTTGAGTGATTGTGACTATGAATTTCACTTCAATCCACTGTTGGATTTGAGTTCTCCGACGAATGCTTCATCGTTCATGTCGGGCATAGTGGCGGTCGTGGAGTATCGAGCCGGCCCTGAAATCGCTGATCAGATAGCAACATTTGCTTTCCGAGAAGTTAGTAAGAGTGGTTGGGATTCTGGGCTGTCCCTGTAGGTCATCATGGAAACTAACCATGTAGCGTTGGGGGGACGACAGAGGTCCGAGGAAGCCGAGAGCTGATTCCGAGACTTTAGGAGGTATGTCGGAGCGGGAAATTTCAATGTTGAGGGCAGATCGAACAACTTACTAGGGATGCTGTATTTGCTTGGAAGGGTTTATGGAAGGGGTGGTGATCACTCCATTGGCTCCATGTTCACAGATAGTGGGGTGTTTGGTAAATACGGAGTAGCTGTTAGTTGATTGGGTTAATGAGTTTGACTAGTTGATAGCGATTATAGAAATATGTTAGGTAATTAGTTGTTAGCTGTTGATCACATACTAAATGACTTTCTCAAAGCTAATAAAAACTGTTTTTTTTTTTTTTTTTTTTTAAATTTAGTGGTTTGGAGCCATAAAATGTTACCAAAAAAAAAAAAAAAAAACTAATTAATCAAACACTCATATTGATTGTTTAACTAAGTCAAACAATTAATAGTAGTCAAATAAATCAAAATTAGTTGATAGTTCAGACTAACTATTTTATCAAATATGACCAATATCATATTTCCCTATGAGTTCACCGAAATTTCATAGGAGAGCTCAAGAGTACGTAAAAAAGTAAAATTATATATGCATACACTCACCTCTGTTCTCTGTTTCCTTTCATGAATACATAACAGAAAGCGAGAGTTGTGTATGTCAAAATTGCAAAATATTTCTTAAGAGATGATGAGTATGATAATTTGTTAAAAACTTGTGAATCTAGCTTATTCATGCATGTTATTTGATATTATTATCTTCTTCTTTTTTCTTATGTAATTTATATTTTAAGTATGTTATTTGATGGTTTAAAAAAAAAGTATGTATTTGATCATCAAGCCAAACAATTTAGATAAATTATATGACTTATGTATTTTTTCATGCGCAATATGCGGATGAGATAATGTCCAAAATGATAATTTAAATATATACTACTTTTGATTTGAATTTCTTTAAGTCTTTTTAATTCTTTTCGGTAGCATTGTCATTATCTTCTTCTTGTACTTGTTTCTTATTTATTTATTTATTGGTAATGTGTCATGTGCAATTGATGAGTTTCTGGTGATAGTATAGATGACAACATCATGCAATGAGATGTTCTTAGAGAATACCTTTTATATCTTTCACTCTCCTTTTATATCTTTCACTCCACTACTAAAAATATCCTCAAAAACTTGACTTAATTCACTAATGGAGATGTTCTTGGAGAATACCAAAATACGCTAACAGAAATGAGCCCTACGTCTCCTGCGTCTCCGCGAATGCCGTGGAGTCTCCAAACATTTCAGTGCCAATGAAGATTTTTTTTTTTTTTTTTTTTTTGTGTTACGAAAAATGAGAATGGCTGCAAAGAGACCGAAATTACACAAGAGCGAAATTACACAAACATTTAAGTGACTGCTTTCTCTTACTAGCGGTAGGTTTCAACAGACAGTCTCTCACTCACCACCGGGCAAATTATTGTATGGACTACGGTCCACACAATGTTATGTGGATCATAACAAAAATTACATATTCAATATACTAAATGTACATTATTTTTGTATTGTATATACATTATATAATATAATGTATACTCAGTACAAAATAATGTACATCCCCTGAATACAATGTACACTATTTTTGTAGTAAATGTACATTATTTTTGTACTGAATATACATTATTTTACAATATACAAAATATAGTTCATACAACTTGTGTAGATCATGATCCACACAATAATGATTGCCACCACCAGCATGCCTTTCATCTTTGAACCAGAGATGAGAAAGGAATTTCAAAATTCAATTACTGAAGATAGAAGTTACAATAATAATAGGAATAGATAACGTAGTCTACTCCTATCTAATAGCCTAGTCTAAGTCAAATAGACTAGCACCACATAAAATAATAAACCTATTACAATAGATATAACAATAAAATATGTAACATTATTAACACACCCCCTCAAGCTCAAGGTGGGTGCGAGACAACATTGAGCTTGCCTCGGAGAGCAGTGAAGCGAGGTCCCGGTAGCGGTTTGGTGAGGATATCAGCCAGTTGATCTTTAGTGGACACAAAATTAACGATAAACTCCCCGGAGGCAACTTTGTCACGTACAAAGTGGTAGTCGATCTCAACATGCTTCGTCCTTGCGTGGAAGACGGGGTTTGTGCAGAGGTATGTGGCTCCTAGATTGTCACACCATAGAGTGGATGGTTGACCAGAGTGTAGGCCAAGCTCACGAAGAAGAGACACTACCCAAGTAACCTCAGCAACAACATCAGCTAAGGCTTTGTATTCAGCCTCAGTAGACGAACGGGCCACAGTGCGCTGCTTCCGTGATAGCCAAGAGATGAGGTTGTCACCCAAGAAAACAGCATATCCACTAGTGCTCTTCCTATCTACCGGACAGCCGGCCCAGTCGGAGTCTGAGAAGGCATGAATAGTCGAGGATGCAGAAGACGAGATACGAAGCCCATAATCCAAAGTCCCTTTGACATACCGAAGAACCCGCTTAACAAGCAAACAATGTTCATCTGTCGGAGAGTGCATGAACTGGCAGAGGCGATTGACAGCGTAAGATAGGTCAGGGCGAGTGATGGTGAGATACTGTAAAGCCCCAACGATGCGCCGATACTGAGTCGGGTTCTCATGTGGTTGAGAAGAAGGACTAACGGCTTGAGAAAACAGCAGCTGGGTTTGTAAGAGGCTTACAATCTGTCATCCCGGCACGGTTGAGAATGTCACCCATGTACCGTCTTTGTGATAGAAGTAGTCCCCCGTCCACTTGCAGTGTTTCTATACCAAGAAAAAAAACTTGGTGTTCCGAGATCCCGAATCTTGAATGCTATAGAGAGACGCTTGAGCATGACGAATAAATGCTCTCAAATTTAAGGCAATGGATGAGTATTATACTACATGCATGCTGATTATATTGTCTGTCATTAATAATAATCCATTGACATATATATAATTATTATAGGCAATAACGTGAAGCACATAGCTAATCAACTATGCATAGATATGGAACTCTAATATCACAGGTTAGATATAAATATAATCTAACGTAAAGTTAATGACGTTCAAAACATGTAAACATGTAAAATTGACATTTTCATAATTAAGTGTGCGGATTGGGAAAAAATAGATCATCTATTTAAGTACCTAGCCGTACGCCCCAACATTTCTGTCTATACAAGTGCCAATTTTTTTACTTGCAGACCTTTTACTCTTTTCACAAGCTTAAGGGGAGTTCTCACATTAATTCGGAAGCTTCTGGCCTCCAATTCTTATTCCATGTGCAAATTTCTTTCTTGCTCTCATTTTACCATTAACTTTGCACTCATGCGACATATTAACTTTGTACGTAGGTGTAATAGGCAAAAGGAATATGAAGTTATGCAATATTCAGAATCATGCCCCATAATTTATGCAAACAAATTTAGCCCACAGTAGCCATAAATTTAACTAGGCAATTCATAAGAAATACCGTTCACCAATTTGCTCATCTTTTCGCCGTGTATTCAATGATGTTATCGTCGCTAGCCGCCGGCGGTCGATGGGCTGTGAGATCGCTTTCTTCCAGCGCGGAGAGATCGATGGGGCAGACGTGGAGCAGGATTACGGCGTCGCCGGGTCGGAGGTAGTTCAAGACTGCGCACTTCACGGCATAGACTCTCTCGTCGCTGAGATCGACGGCGATGGCGATCTTCCGTTGCGCCCCGACCGGAAACTCGATCCACTTTCAGATTCAGCCGCTGAAGAGGAAATCTCCTCCGACGCCGGCTTCTTCGAAGAAGAAGATAGCGCTTCTAGACAACCAATCAAAGTGAAGGTGACACCACATCGATCGTCGCTGTCAATTGTTTTTGCCGAGGGATCTCAGAATCGATATCGCAAAATCCAGACCGCAGGGCTCTCAGTTGACAAAGATGGATGGAGAACCATCGTGCTGCTGATAACTGTTAAACAAAAATAAGGAAGAAGGAATAGATAGAGTGGAGAGGGAAGGTCAAGATATTCTCATTCATCAATCAGAATACTTAGACAAAGATACCACCAAATACATATAAAAGGTAGTAACATAATCTGTTATAACTGCTATCATATATATAATAATGTTCACAATAATAATATTTATAACAAATCTAAATCTTAATTATAATAATAAGATAATGTATTAATAGTAATTCTTAAACATATAGGACTACTATTATATTATTATCTCCCAATTTTAACTCAAATAGGGTTGAAGTATTATTATTACCCTACTCCTAATAGAAATATGATAATAAATACGTGAATAAATAAGTGAATTCCTACATGAGCTTTCTCATTACTAGCTATTTGCTAGAAACAACGGCTTAACCCAACCCAACAAATATAATTGGAGATAGAATGACGACAACAATATCATATTTGACCAGCATCCGCTCACAACATCCAACTGTGGGAATACTGTACATTCAGAACAGTACTAGAGTTGTGGTGCCAGGTTCTGTGCCTTATACTTTGAGTGATTGTGACTATGAATTTCACTTCAATCCACTGTTGGATTTGAGTTCTCCGACGAATGCTTCATCGTTCATGTCGGGCATAGTGGCGGTCGTGGAGTATCGAGCCGGCCCTGAAATCGCTGATCAGATAGCAACATTTGCTTTCCGAGAAGTTAGTAAGAGTGGTTGGGATTCTGGGCTGTCCCTGTAGGTCATCATGGAAACTAACCATGTAGCGTTGGGGGGACGACAGAGGTCCGAGGAAGCGAGAGCTGATTCCGAGACTTTAGGAGGTATGTCGGAGCGGGAAATTTCAATGTTGAGGGCAGATCGAACAACTTACTAGGGATGCTGTATTTGCTTGGAAGGGTTTATGGAAGGGGTGGTGATCACTCCATTGGCTCCATGTTCACAGATAGTGGGGTGTTTGGTAAATACGGAGTAGCTGTTAGTTGATTGGGTTAATGAGTTTGACTAGTTGATAGCGATTATAGAAATATGTTAGGTAATTAGTTGTTAGCTGTTGATCACATACTAAATGACTTTCTCAAAGCTAATAAAAAAACTGTTTTTTTTTTTTTTTTTTTTAAATTTAGTGGTTTGGAGCCATAAAATGTTACCAAAAAAAAAAAAAAAAAAAACTAATTAATCAAACACTCATATTGATTGTTTAACTAAGTCAAACAATTAATAGTAGTCAAATAAATCAAAATTAGTTGATAGTTCAGACTAACTATTTTATCAAATATGACCAATATCATATTTCCCTATGAGTTCACCGAAATTTCATAGGAGAGCTCAAGAGTACGTAAAAAAGTAAAATTATATATGCATACACTCACCTCTGTTCTCTGTTTCCTTTCATGAATACATAACAGAAAGCGAGAGTTGTGTATGTCAAAATCTTGCTGCAAATATTTCTTAAGAGATGATGAGTATGATAATTTGTTAAAAACTTGTGAATCTAGCTTATTCATGCATGTTATTTGATATTATTATCTTCTTCTTTTTTTCTTATGTAATTTATATTTTAAGTATGTTATTTGATGGTTTAAAAAAAAAGTATGTTATTTGATCATCAAGCCAAACAATTTAGATAAATTATATGACTTATGTATTTTTTCATGCGCAATATGCGGATGAGATAATGTCCAAAATGATAATTTAAATATATACTACTTTTGATTTGAATTTCTTTAAGTCTTTTTAATTCTTTTTCGGTAGCATTGTCATTATCTTCTTCTTGTACTTGTTTCTTATTTATTTATTTATTGGTAATGTGTCATGTGCAATTGATGAGTTTCTGGTGATAGTATAGATGACAACATCATGCAATGAGATGTTCTTAGAGAATACCTTTTATATCTTTCACTCTCCTTTTATATCTTTCACTCCACTACTAAAAATATCCTCAAAAACTTGACTTAATTCACTAATGGAGATGTTCTTGGAGAATACCAAAATACGCTAACAGAAATGAGCCCTACGTCTCCTGCGGTCTCCGCGAATGCCGTGGAGTCTCCAAACATTTCAGTGCCAATGAAGATTTTTTTTTTTTTTTTTTTTTTGTGTTACGAAAAATGAGAATGGCTGCAAAGAGACCGAAATTACACAAAGAGCGAAATTACACAAACATTTAAGTGACTGCTTTCTCTCTTACTAGCGGTAGGTTTCAACAGACAGTCTCTCACTCACCACCGGGCAAATTATTGTATGGACTACGGTCCACACAATGTTATGTGGATCATAACAAAAATTACATATTCAATATACTAAATGTACATTATTTTTGTATTGTATATACATTATATAATATAATGTATACTCAGTACAAAATAATGTACATCCCCTGAATACAATGTACACTATTTTTGTAGTAAATGTACATTATTTTTGTACTGAATATACATTATTTTACAATATACAAAATATAGTTCATACAACTTGTGTAGATCATGATCCACACAATAATGATTGCCACCACCAGCATGCCTTTCATCTTTGAACCAGAGATGAGAAAGGAATTTCAAAATTCAATTACTGAAGATAGAAGTTACAATAATAATAGGAATAGATAACGTAGTCTACTCCTATCTAATAGCCTAGTCTAAGTCAAATAGACTAGCACCACATAAAATAATAAACCTATTACAATAGATATAACAATAAAATATGTAACATTATTAACACACCCCCTCAAGCTCAAGGTGGGTGCGAGACAACATTGAGCTTGCCTCGGAGAGCAGTGAAGCGAGGTCCCGGTAGCGGTTTGGTGAGGATATCAGCCAGTTGATCTTTAGTGGACACAAAATTAACGATAAACTCCCCGGAGGCAACTTTGTCACGTACAAAGTGGTAGTCGATCTCAACATGCTTCGTCCTTGCGTGGAAGACGGGGTTTGTGCAGAGGTATGTGGCTCCTAGATTGTCACACCATAGAGTGGATGGTTGACCAGAGTGTAGGCCAAGCTCACGAAGAAGAGACACTACCCAAGTAACCTCAGCAACAACATCAGCTAAGGCTTTGTATTCAGCCTCAGTAGACGAACGGGCCACAGTGCGCTGCTTCCGTGATAGCCAAGAGATGAGGTTGTCACCCAAGAAAACAGCATATCCACTAGTGCTCTTCCTATCTACCGGACAGCCGGCCCAGTCGGAGTCTGAGAAGGCATGAATAGTCGAGGATGCAGAAGACGAGATACGAAGCCCATAATCCAAAGTCCCTTTGACATACCGAAGAACCCGCTTAACAAGCAAACAATGTTCATCTGTCGGAGAGTGCATGAACTGGCAGAGGCGATTGACAGCGTAAGATAGGTCAGGGCGAGTGATGGTGAGATACTGTAAAGCCCCAACGATGCGCCGATACTGAGTCGGGTTCTCATGTGGTTGAGAAGAAGGACTAACGGCTTGAGAAACAGCAGCTGGGTTTGTAAGAGGCTTACAATCTGTCATCCCGGCACGGTTGAGAATGTCACCCATGTACCGTCTTTGTGATAGAAGTAGTCCCCCGTCCACTTGCAGTGTTTCTATACCAAGAAAAAAAACTTGGTGTTCCGAGATCCCGAATCTTGAATGCTATAGAGAGACGCTTGAGCATGACGTCAAGAAGCGATGAATCATTGCCCATCATAATAATATCATCGACGTAGACGAGGAAGAAGACCCGTGATTCTCCGGATGTGTAGTGGAATAGAGAGACGTCGGTTTTGGAGGGTGAAAAACCTGCAGAAACCAAGAAATCATGTAGTCTCTTGAACCAAGCCCGTGGAGCTTGTTTGAGACCATACAGAGAGCGCTGGAGATGACATACATAGTCCGGATGTATGGGGTCCTCATACCCTGGTGGCTGTTTCATGTATACTGTTTCAGCGATGAGATGGCCGTTTAAAAAGGCATTGTGTACGTCTAACTGCCGCAGGGTCCAATCTTTGGACACAGCCAGGGAAAAGAGTAGTCGGACCGTGGTCGGCTTGACTACCGGGCTGAAGGTATCAAAGAAATCTTCCCCAGCTACCTGATTGAAGCCTTTCGCCACAAGCCGTGCTTTGGTGCGATAGACCCACTTGCACCTGATCACATTCATGTCTGGTTGTGGTGGTACAAGCCTCCAAGTACTGTTGTGTAATAACGCATTGAACTCTTGGTCCATAGCGTCACGCCACTGTGCGTGGCCCACAGCTTGTGAGTAACATGTAGGGTCAGTATTAACCGTCAATGCCTGGAACTGCTCATTTGTGCCCTGAGTCATGTGACGTAGGCGCATGACATGGCCACGATCTTGTGGTACAGTCTTGCGAGGACCACGTTTTCTGACCTGTGTAGTTTGCGTGGGACCTTCAATGGCCAATGGTGCAGGTTCTTGGACTTGCGGAGTAGGCCCGGGCGGGGGCGGAACATGTACAAGAGGCAGGGCCGGATGAGTCACAACTGACCCGGATGCCCAAGGGATGGACTGAACCACCTGCTGTGTTGTGTCCTGTATTGTTGAGTCTGAAAAAGGAAAAACGGACTCGTCAAATCGGACATGGCGACAAATATAAATTTTTCCACTTGTTAGGTCCAAACATCTATAACCCCTGTAGGACGGAGGGTAACCTAGGAACACACACGGGGTGGAGCGATACTCTATCTTGTGCCTGTTGTAAGGGCGTAGATATGGGTAACACTTACACCCGAAGACACGAAGAAAATTATAGGGTGGTGGTGTTTTATATAGGTGGTAATATGGACTTTCAAACTGTAGTGCTGACGAGGGTAGGTAATTTATGAGGGTTGTTGCAGTTTCGAAGGCATAATCCCAATATTCAGGGGGTACTGAGCCTTCAGCAAGGAGGGCGAGCCCGGTTTCAACTATGTGTCTGTTCCGGCGCTCAACCCTCCCGTTTTGTTCATGGGTGTAGGCGCAGGATTGTCTGTGGTTAATTCCCAAAGTTTGGAATATTTTATGCAGTTTTTGATATTCACCCCCTAGGTCGGATTGGATAGATTTGATAGAACGCTCAAATTGGCATTCTACCGCGACCCGAAACAATTCAAAAGTTTTATAAATATCTGATTTTACCCGTAAGGGATAAAACCAGCAGAAACGAGTACAATCATCAACGAACAAAAGAAAATATCGAAAACCACAACTAGAAAGGACCGGGGCCGGGCCCCAGATGTCCGTATACAACAAGTCCAGTACATTATCAGTAGATTTTAACACCCTATCTAACGGAAAACGAGAGGCTTTCCCGAGATGACAAGCGGTGCACGAACTCATTGACTTGGATTTATTCTGAACGACCGAACAGAAAGGCAACACTTTATGAAGAACTTGATTGTGAGGATGGCCCAATCGACGATGCCACATCACAGGAGTGGTACGGGAAGTAAGGAACGCAAACGGAGACTGCGGTAGTGAGAGCTTATACAAACCACCGGTGGTAGGCCCTTTAAGCAGAATTGCCCGAGTTATCGAATCCTTCACAACGAAACAATTTTTATGAAATTCAAAGAATACATTATTTTCGTTAGTAAATCTTTGAACTGATAACAACGGGACGGATAAATTTGGCACATGTAAAACATTGGACATTTGTAACAATTTAGACTTGGAAGGAATAGACGAGGACCCAACACGTGAAATATTTAAACCCGTACCATTACCGACTCGGAGCACGTCCCCACCATTGTAGTCCACGGATTGTGACATCATGGAGGCATCCGGCGTCGCATGTGCCGAAGCCCCCGTGTCCGGGAACCAACCGCCGGTCGACGCCACCTCATCACCGGAGACCGCAACATTCGCCGAGTGGGCATTCGTGGGAGGCTGCGTGGTATACCTTTTGTAACAATAGACTGCTGAGTGTCCATTTGCTCGACAAATTTGACACCGAAGCTGCCCGCCGCCGCGACCTCCACGGCCTCGTCCGCCCCGGTTGCCACGACCACGGCCTTGATTTGAGGAGCCGTGTCGACCACCAGACGAGCCATCAGAAGGCTAGCTTCTGCCACGACCTGCATACAGCGCTGCCGGAGGTCCGCCACCTGCAGCCCCGCCAACGTTCGCGATCGGGAGTTCATCGGAGTAGATGAACTCCTGAGCCTGTAAAAAATCAGCAAGTTGAGGAAGGGAGACCGGATTACCATTCACGGTGAGGGAGGCCGCCATCGACCTAAATTCCGGCCGTAGACCTCTGAACACCCATAGGTTCTGTTCATCCAGTGAAAGAGGACGGCCGACCAGCGCTAAAGCTTCGACAAGGAGCTGTGTTTGGCCGATGTAGTCCGCCGGTGAGGAGTTCCCCTGTCGCAGCGACTGGAACTGCCCAAGAAGATTGAGGCAGCGAGCGCACGTACTGGACCCCAAGGCGGCAGTAATGGAATCCCAGACCTCCTTAGCCGTGTTCCGGCCAACCGCCAAATGCAACACCTCGTCGGACATGGAGGAGACGAGGAGCGACAAAATAGACTGGTCTTGCTTCACCCATGATCTGTACGCCGGATTCGGGACTTGCCCGGTGGTGGTTGCCACGCCGGATGCAGATTTGCCGGAAGGGGAGGAGGCAATGGTGGCCGGCGGACACTCAATCTCGCCGTCGACGTACCCGAGCAACTCTTGACCTTTTAGGAACGAGACGAGTTGTGTACGCCAGAAAAGGTAATTTCGGGAGGTTAATTTAATCAACACAAAGTGATGTGCCGATGAGAGGGGATTGGAAGTGGTGGCGGATGGTGGGGCAGTGGTGGTGATTGTTCGTTCAGAAGAATTAGTCGACATTTTGAGAGTGGTGGAGAAAAAACAGGAGGATCTAACCCAAACTTGAACTGATACCAGATGAGAAAGGAATTTCAAAATTCAATTACTGAAGATAGAAGTTACAATAATAATAGGAATAGATAACGTATTCTACTCCTATTTAATAGCCTAGTCTAAGTCAAACAGACTAGCACCACATAAAATAATAAACCTATTACAATAGATATAACAATAAAATATGTAACATTATTAACACACCAGAGAGCTTGAATGGGCTCTGTTTTCTAGTAAAGCAAAGCCGCACCGTCTCTAATGGATTCTCAAGATTCCTTACTTGGACCACCCCCAACAGCCCAACTAGGCCATGCCCACAACATCAACGGTAGAGGCAAATTATATCGTGCACCGCGGTACATTCTAAATAACGTCGTTTTGTTTAATAAAAAGAAACGACACCGATTTCGTGCCGGTCTGTGCCATTCCGCAAAATATAACTCTGTTATTCAGTTTCATTTTATATACACTGCAGTTTCATTTCGATATAACTACAGTTTCATTTCAACATAACTAAAGTTTCATTCGATATTATAACACTTAAAAATGTGAAAATGTTATTTAATTTTATTTTATATACGCCATAGTTTCATTAAAACACAACTACATTATCATTTCGATATAACTACAGCTTTATTGCACAATATACACTCAAATATGTGAAATGTTATTCGGTTTCATTTCAACACAACTACAATATCATTTTGATATAACTATAGTTTCGCTGGTCAATATATACTCAAATATGTGAAATTGTTATTCAGTTTCATTTTGTATATACTGCAGTGTCATTTGAACACAACTACAGTTTCATTTCATTTCATTTCAATTGCAGTTTCACTTGATAATATAAAAATAATATGTGAGGCAGTGTCAGTTTAGATACACTGTAACTTTAGTTAGTAATTAATACACCAAACATGCGTGCTCCGTTAACTGTAACGGCGCGCCGTTTCTTTACTTAAAGAAACGGCGCCGTTTTTGGACAGGTCCACAGTAAAATTGCTGAACGGTAGAGGCATGATGCTGCAACAGCAGCAGCGTGTTCCAATTCTATGGTGGGAGCCCAAAAATGTTCTTGTATTTCAATTCTCAATTGTTGAATACTTCAAATTTATTGTTTTAATGATTCTAGCTTCTCTAAATATTATTAACTATATAATACATGATTCTTCATCTTGTCAACAAAAAAATTACAACGTCTATAAGGACAAATTATTGTGTGGATCATGGTCCACACAATATTGTGTGGACCATAACAAAAAGTACATTTTTAATACACTAAATGTACATTATTTTTGTACTGAATGTACATTATACAATATAATGTACACTCAGAACAAAAATAATGTACATCCACTGAATGTAATGTACATTATTTTTGTATTGAATGTACATTATTTTTATATTGAATGTACATTATTTTACAGTAGACAAAATATGATCCACACAACTTGTGTGGACCAGGTCCACACAATAATAATTAGTCTATAAGTGAGTTAACCGAAAAGTTGATTGGGCATACAAAGAAACAATACAATCCCGCCAAAACGAATTGCTCCAAACCTAGTGCTACTGTGATTAAAGGTTGAAGATAAGTTTAGTTGGGCATGGACTATATTAGTTTGGGCATGACCTAGCCTCATCGGCTCATCATATCAAAAAAAAAAAAAAAAAAAAAAAAAAAAAAAAAAATTAAAATTAAAATTAAAATTAAAATTAGTGTCTGTTTTGATTTTTGGGCTTGCTTTAGTGTTCTTCCATTTTTATTTTTTTTTTAATTTTGGCCTTTAGTTTATTCTCCAAATAAATTGATTTTAATCCATCAATTAAATTATCATTCAGCTTTGAACCTTTCTTTGGTTTTAAGCTAATTTTGATTTCCAAGTATTTTGTAGATTGATGACATCGTTGTTATCATTTCAAACGGAAGGTCACATGTTTGAGTTCTATTCCAATAAAAAATATTGACAAAATTATGTTGAACAGATACTATGATATTGGTATTGTTTTTTAAAGAGTTAATACCCAAAATGGTCCTTCGACTATGTTATAATTACCAATTTGGTCCTCAACTACCATTCTTACCCAATTAAGTCTTCAACTATGTAACTTTTACTCAATTAAGTCCTCAACTATACAATTCTTACCCAATTTAGTCCTCAACTATACAATTCTTACCCAATTTAGTCCTCTGTATTAATTTGACTGTTTGTTGACTATCAAAAGTCGGGATAAAATTATAATTTTACAAGATTTCTCCTTCCTCTCCATTTAGCAGCGCCAAACCATGCAGCAATACGCTCCGATCAGATTTCGTTCGTCAAAAAATCGTTGGAAATCAAATTCATGGGCTATCCGATGCATAACCACTACTTCGATACTGACAGGTTTAGAACCCAATCGGAGCTTATTGCTACATGGTTTGGCGCTGCTAAATGAGGAGGAAGGAGAAAACTTGTAAAATTATAACTTTATTTCCACTTTTGACAGTCAACAAACAGTCAAATTAACAAAGGACTAAATTGGGTAAAAATTGTATAGTTGAGGACTTAATTGGGTAAGAATGATAGTCGAGGACCAAATTGGTAATTACGACATAGTCGAAGGACTATTTTGGGTATTAACTCTTTTTTAAATTAATGGTAGCTATAGCACCATGTGTTTGGTGTATAACATGTTTATTAAATTAAATGTAATAATAATAATATTGATTATTATATAACATGTTTATTAAGTTTTTTATATTATTATTAATTTATATTTTATTATTAATATTTTTTTTATTACGAAGGTAGGGAAATACCCACATATACAATCCACGCATACACTGAGGCTTGAACCCTAGACCTCCCACATAGGGGAGCAATCAGATTTATTGTCGATATTTTATTATTGATATTTATTGTCGATAAATTTTTCTTTTTTTGTTGAAATTTATTGTGGATAATAATATTAAGTTTGGCTCTAATATAGGGTTGGACCTTTCTCCCATCATTATTTTGAGCCATTAAAGATTATATTAGCCTATTTTGAGCAATTAAGGGTTATAATTATTTTCTGGGCTTTAATAATAATGATAAGCAAGGAATATGAAGGTGAAATCCTAATCAAAGTAAGAATATAAATGTGAAATCTTGTTTTATGCCTATATAAAGTCTATATTGATGGGATATATGATATTCCAGTTTATAGCATATACAATTTATGTTACTCACATTACTCAGATCATTTAAAGTTCGTGTAGGAGACACAAACTTTATGATACAGTTCGTCTAATATTTTCCATACAGTTCTACCATTCGAGACACAACACGACATCAACTATGAGCCGAGGTATTTCCGTTCTAGCTCCATAAAAAATTGTTACGAACAAGTGTAATTAGATTTTGATGATACCAAACTGTCTAGGATTGTAGACCCCTATTTTTCCTTTCATAGATAAATCTCGTGTAACTAACAAAAGTTACTGTAACTCAACGTCTGATTCACACCATGAGGTGTACGAATCTTACTCGAGACTAGCATAATAGGTCTACATGAATATTTGAAGTCGACAAGATGATCGAAAGATGCTTCCAGGCGAAAGATGGATTGAGCAAGTCTCGGATAGACTTCTTTTGACAAAAAGGATCTCTCGTCAAAGAGAAATGACGAAAGATAAAGTCAATCTTTCGACCGACGTATCTAAGTAAACAAGTCAAAGACATACTTGTAAAAGACAACATTCATTTAAGTAAAGCAATGAGAATGTTGTCTATGACTCAGATGGCCAAATCATTCGGACAAAAAATGTCATAGGAATGATCTTCACAAAAGACAAAGAGCATTAAAAGACTTGTACCATCTTGTCAGAGAACAAGGACAAAAGCCATAATGCTTTTGGCTCCAACGGCTATACAGTACATAAATGCCCAATGCCCACTGGTTAATACTCACTGGTTATTAGGTTTGAAATTTTAATCTTCCTCCAACGGATGGTTTTTTCCACCTATAAATACCTCTCTTCACCATTGAAGAAGGTGCTGGTTATTTCACTCTTGCTATCCAAAGAAAAGCTCTTCAAACAGTTCCATCTCTTCAAACTTTTCATAACCATTGATCTTGTGAAGTTTTTCAAAAGGCTCATCCATTTCCATACTTCACAATCGAAGAAGTCTTGCATATTTTCAAGTGAAGATCCATCCAGTTGTCAAGACAATGCTTCAACTAGTTGGAGAAACATCAGATTATCTTTCCAACATCTCAACTTAGGAAGAAGTTGATAGAGGCGGAGTAAACTCGAGGAGTTGAAAAACCTGTCAAGTGGCTGTCCGGCTTAGTGATCAAGGAAGCCAGCTTGAAGTAGTTTGTTCTAGGAGTGATAGTGCAAACCCTTTCACGAGTTGTGAAAGAAGAGTGGAGTAGGCTTCGTTAACAGCCGAACCACTATAAAAATCTCTCTCTCCATATCTCTTTACATTCTGCTTTATTACTTTCGTGCATTGCACATCATATCGACCAAACGCTAAATTTTTACAACGAAAGTGTGCAAAGAGTATCTAAGACGAAACGTTATTTCCGTTGTGCATAACTCCGAAAGGAGTTGCTTTGAAAAATCGTTAGAGTCTATTCACTCCGAAATGAGTTGCATAATTATATTCCAATTCAAATATTGCTTTGAAAAATTGTTTATGTATATTATATTAAGAGTTAATGTGTATTATGTTAAGAGTTTATGTGTATTATGTATTATGTTAATATTATATGTACTAGTATTTTCACCCGTGCGATGCACGAAATGGATTTGTTGTAATATATTAAGAATATTTGAATTGATATATAATTATTTAAATTAGAACATCAAATATTATATAGTGCAATTAAATATATGGTTTGGATCGTTTATGTATTTTGATGTTATCATTGCTTGAATTTGTGCAAATAATTGCTCAAATTAATAGCTAATGTTTAGATGTACGCATGCG